GCTCGTAAACGTGTGGAGTTGAAGATGAACCTTCACCTCCGAACACATTCGATTTAGTATGAGTTGAACAATCCTTTGTTCACTCATGTCAGGGTACAGCCTCCTGGCTAACCCAAGCTTACTCAATATGAACGAAGTCACGGCTTCTCCTCGTTTTTGGTCCACCCCGTATAAACTACTTTCCAATGAACTCACTAAGAGTCCGTTGTTGAATCGCTCCTGTAGGCGATTAGTAAAAAATGCCCAGTCCAGGGTCATATTCTTGTAGGGTGTGAACCATTGTGCAGCAGCTCCCTTCAGCCATTGTCCGGCTGTCATAGCCCATACCGAAGGGTGTAAGCCGCTCAGCTGTTCTTCAGCTTTCTTGCAAAACTCCCTTGGATCCTCGTTGTCCAGTCCACTGAACGACGGTAAAGGGGTTTTTACTTTCTTTTCCATTTGGGAATCGCTTTCCGCGTCTCTCTGCGGCTCTCGGCGGTTTTCTAGAACCGTCACCAATCGGTGGACAGTTCTTCCATCTTGTCTACTGGCTTAACTACTTCCAGTATTTCAACTTCCTGTTGTTTGTTTGGTTTTGTCAATGGCACTCGTGCGCTAGCTCCTGAGGGTTGCATCCGCTGTGCACCCCCTACAGCTGTCTCGCACCCTCTCTGAATTGACAATCCTCCCCTCTGCATGTTTTCGAGGTTTCGTACCTCCCATGCATCTTCAGTACCCGCCCAGTACTGGTTTACTAAATTGTTGCTGTTAGGCGCCAGAGTGTTTTTGAAAAACTCGGGATTACACACAACCCGTTGCTGTTCCGCCATTGTCTCCCCCTCGCGAGTTCGGGTAGGCACTCTGGCCTTCCTGAGCACGTCCTCGTGCTCCAGCCTCTTACGTTGGGCGACATGTCCTCCGGAACCGTATCGATCGGGGTCGGTTACTTCCTTCAGGGGGGCGTGTCCTGCGACTCCGCCCCCGCCGACCACGCGTACCGTTCGTCGTTGCTGCGGCCGGCTGGCCTCCCAGACCTGAGCCCTTGGGATTTCAGGACTCAGTTCCTGTCTGGGTGCAACGGGAAGTTG